GTGAACAGATAGTCTATGTCCCATTTCACCTAGCCTGGTTAAAACCAGAGCCTGTCCTTCACTTTGCTTCATACAAGGGTCTGGACTTGATGCATAGAGAAGTGATTCTTGCAGGAGGCGTGGCCTCTGCTGAAGCATGTGTATGTGAAGGAGGCTAAGCTAAGAAGCTAACCGGAAATCGTGTGTGCTTTAAAAAACCCTACTGAGAGGAGAAATATACCGAGCCGAACGAGACGACTGTAAATGACAGCTGATGCTTTGTCAGATAAATTTAATTTAATTTGGAAGCCTTATCAACACGGACAGGCTTCATTCACTTCCTCCACTGCCGTATGCTAAAATAACTAGCAGACACTGCGCAGAACATTGACGTCGTTCAAAGCTCCGCCTTCTGTTTGCTGATTGGTCCAGGTAAAATAAACTACAAGCAGACACTGTGCAGAAAATCAATGTTCTGTTCTCTGATTGGCTCGGCTAAAAATCTGCCAACGAAATCCATCTCATTGGGAGAAATCCCAGACGGAGCAGTGAAGGGAAACTAGAATTGAGCGGAGCTGCATAGGCAGGCAAGGGCCAGGCTAGATTTCACCCAAAACGTGATTTTCTCTGCAGCTGTCTTTCCTCCATTCTTAGCGGTGGCAATCTGCATTGGAGGCACTATCTAATGTCAAACTTTGTCATCACAACCAATTCAGTACCACTAAGACACTTTTAAACATTTTTGTAATTATCAAAAATGCATCTAAGTGTTTTTTTCAAGTGAGGCCTGCCAGCTGCCCATTATTTCCTTTGAGGAAGAAAAAAACTCTTTGTATTGTTTAAGTTCTAACTCAGCTAGGACTCGGTATTGGTACTAGGTATCGGCAAGTACCCAAACTGAAGCATTCGTACTCGGTTTGAGAAAATCTGGTGTTGGGACACCACTACCCTGAACTCCATCTCCCCAGCTGAGACTCCATGTTGCTCTGAGTCCACTGTTGCCTCGAGGTTTCCACTTAATGGGATACGCCTGAACCGCCTGCCTACCTGGACTGACTCCTTTCGATGCAGACAAGCAGCAGCTCTACTTTTTGTCCTTGAGGGCCCAACCGCTCTTCAGAGGAAGTCGATTTTGCCTACTTTTACCTGCAATCTCGTTCTTTTCAGACTCCACTCATACACTTTATGTGAGGGCTAGAACAGATTACTTGGAAACTGGCAGCTTCATCTTTCGGTTCAGCACTTTGTTCATCAAGACAGTGGTACATTGTCCACATCACTGCACATGCTGACCCATTTTGCTCATCAATATCCCAATTTGTTTTGCCGCTTTTGAGCAGAAATACTTAAACTCTTTCACTTCCAACCTGGAGTTGTGAATCCACTCTTTCATTTTTTCTATTTCCGTTCAACTATGAAACTGGCCTTCTCTGTGCAGATTATTGAATGATAAATTGTTTTCACATGAGCTTGTTTTAGTGTTGCAGATGGCATATGAAGGGATCTTTTATTTAGATTTTTATTTCTAGTAACTGACTTGTGTTTCTGCTTTGTTAATTTTATTGTCTGATAAAAGCCACAAATGGCAGCTTTGAAAGTCTGCGATGCGTAGTTTGTCGGTGAAGACTCAAAAAGCCACAGGGATCATTTGTGAACAAGGTACTTTATTTGCAATAAAATCAGTTTCCAGAAAGGCTCAGCTAACACTTGCTGCCCTGCACTTATCTTCCTGCATCAGGGCCGTTAATGTCTGTAGGTGACGGATAAAGAGGCTAAATCTCCTATAACGACCATCAGTATACCCAAACTACTGACTGAGTGTCACATGTGCTCTCATCATCAAACTCTTCACTCCACACTTTTGTCTGTGCTCACTGAATAATTTCATCATGAACTGATATACAGTGGGAAGTGTAATAGGCACAAGATGACGAGCAGTGTTCCTGAGAGATTACAGTCAGTTTTATGCAGAATGCATCTAGGATGGAAAATTATGAGGCTTCAGCTCAGGAAAATGAACAAAAAAAATAGAAATTACTCATCATTTAACACTACACAGCCAACTCCGAAGTCTCAGATGTAACACTTTCCCTTCAGCATGTTGGAACAAAGACTGACATTACAGATCCTGCACCTGTCCACAGAAAGCTCATCTATTCTCACCTGAAAAGTCTTTTGTCTCCTTGAAAATAGAAAAAAAAAAACTCTGATTGTGATGACTTCTGCTTGCGTTTTAAACCGCCATTCAAGAAAAAATGTTTTTGTTGTTATTCATGTCGAATCTAAACGTAATTTGCTGAAGCTATTCAGTGTCAGGGGATGGACTGATTTTACCAAAAGGTTATAATCAAGGCCTCTGAACACAGAATAATATTCAGTTTATTTATTTATTTAGTTATTTCCAATCTGGCATTTTCAGGCTTGTAGTACGGTACTCAATTTAGTTTGCATTCTGTCATTCATTTTATTCATTCACTCAAGGTCTGGTGCTGAAAGCTGAACAAAAACAAACCATTCAAAGCTGAACCTTTTGATACCTTTGTTAAAAAAACAACTAACAATTGTGCAGATAGCCTGTAAGTATTTTGTTTGTGCAGTAACTCTTGGATGAGCCATTATGTTTTTTTTTTTCATTTATTTATCATTTTAAATTTTTGCACAAAAAACCTGTTACAATTAGTTTATTTGCATTTTACTGTCAAAGACACTTGTCATTAAAAGAGCACTTAAAAGGAACTTAGCTGGTGTCGAAAAACACACAGCTGTGTGATTTGTCTAATTAACACCTCAGCTTCTCTTCTCCAGAACTATTTCCAACTTGTCGGTCCATTTCTTTCTTTCTTTCTCTTTTTTTTTTTTTTTTGAAAAACAGTAGTATGTGAGAGTCATTTCTGCACGTGGCTGGCACGCAGCGGTTTGTCTGCAGAAGTGACCCAGCTGTGCAGACACAAGCTGATACCTTCTTTCAAGCTGATGTTTTGAGAGGTTTTTTCAGGTACAATCTCTCCCACTCTGTGACGTTATAGTGAGGTCCTCTGCATGGCAGCAAACACATGCTGACGAGGATGAAAAGAGAGGGCTACATGTTGAGAAAAAGTCAGGTGTAGTGGGATGTGTGCCTGACTGATTTCATATCCAGCTTTAAAAATATCCAATTCAAACTGCACCTGGACCCTGCCTCTGTCTGATCCAAAGGAAGTACATGACATTTTGACTCTTTGAAGCTCTGATTTCTAAGCTTTGCTTCAACTTCGGCTTCGGCATGAGATTAAAAAGAATATGAAGAATTGTGTGTGTGTGTGTGTGTGTGTGTGTGTGTGTGTGTGTGTGTGTGTGTGTGTGTG